CTACTCTGAATTCTTTAATTTTCTCACTGACTCTGATAAAAGATATTCAAGATATTTATTGAGAATACCTGAATTCCCGCTCCATAAATTTTTGTTTCAAAAGATTGTTGAAGTAATGAATCATCAATATTTGTACAAATAGATTTGTGTTGATAGAAAAATTGAAAGTTGGATCAGATGTTTGTAAACATTCAAGGAAATTATCATTGGTGCCCTTCACAAAGAGAATAATTTTCTAAAAATTCTATAATTCTGGGAAATAGTTAGTAAAACATTTTATACGTCCCATTACCAAGCTTACCCCAACATTAATTAAGTTTGGCTTCAACTTTTTTTCAGAGTAAGAACTGCAAATAAGCATGGAAAAGTATTTCTAATGAATCTGATACTGAAAAGAACAAAGTTTGGCATAAAGGCAACAAATTTACTTCTGGTAGATAAATTTCTCATACTTTGAGCAGATCATTGGATTAAGAAAAACGCCTAGTGGATTAAGAAAGTATAAGTTTAAAGGTATTTATTTATTTTATAATTTTTTCAGTACATATGAAATGTATATGAATTGATCGACAAGGTGGCGTAAAAAATTCTTGGATAAATGAATGACTTGAACTTTATTAAGCAAAGCTTGTGCCTTGATCAAATCAGTCATACGTATTGAAAAATAAAATTTTTTTGTATACTAATATATATATATATGCATGCCAAATTTCAAACCCTGTAGATCATCAAACAAAGAAAGTCGGTGTTTAACAATGCAATAACCATAATTATTTGTTCAATATTAACATTTTATCTTACTAATTCATTTTCATCCATTTATACTCACAAAATACTTCAAAGGCAATGTTAACAACAGTAATGATAATAAAAGTAATTCTTTCACTCATACTGAAACTGTCCTATTCTAAGAGTACTTACAACTTACTCTCTCGCAAATAGGTGGTACAGGCAATAATTACCTAAATTTACCACAAAATGTATCATACCAAGGGTTAAAAAACGGGGGCCGAAAATCAAAACCCTGAAACGCCTTGTTCTCCGTTGATCGGTGCAACCTGCTTGTCCTCTCAAAATAATTACTATTACTATTTTTATTGTGTGGTGGTTTTTTTTTTTAAGCTGCTTTATTTGTCTTTTTATTATTTAATTATTATTCCCTTTGCTTTTAAAATTTTATAATAATTTAAAGCTATAATCATTTTTCTTTATTTTTTATATATGAAATATGACTAACAAATCAACAACAGCTGGAATTATTGAGATTCCTAAACGAAAAACTACAATGGTAATTTTTATAAAAATTGTTTTTTTAGTAAATAAGCAAATTACAAATTACAAATTATCAACAATTTAACTGTTTTTGATTTTTATTAGGTTAAAACAGAGAAACGTAAACTTCCGTTAAAGACGAATTCAAAAAGATCCGACTCTTCGAATTCTAATTCTAATAATTCAATTTTGTCAACAAGCCCTTCAGGAATAACAACAGAGGCTGCTTCGACAACAACTAACAATCAATCTAAATCTCGTACAATAACTATAAATGATTCGTCATCAGAATCTAGTGATAATACTTTAGTAACATCACCAACTCAATTAACTTCATCATCGCCATTACAACTAAATAATATTCATTTAACTGAGGAGGAAATTAAATTAAAACAACTTGAACAAGCAAAAAAGATTTTATTGAGACAACAAGAGGCACCAAGTTTCAGACATGAATTACAATTAAAAGAAACAAAAGAACCTACAAGAGGTAGGTCACTACAATCACTTAAACGTGACCAATTAAGATCTCCAAGTCCAAGTCCAAGGTATACATCTTCTCCAACTCCGCCACTTTTATTAAAAAGAAGACAACAACAAAGTGACACCAATTACTATCATGCAGAATCAGATGATTCCAATACATCTAATAATAGTAGCATAACAAATAAGAAAACAGCTACTAAAAAACGTAATAATACACTCAATGCCTCCAAGCCGGTATGCACATGTTTGAAACCTGATAGTATTTGGTGTCAAATGTGCGAATCAAAAAGATTTCAGCAAAGATTTTCAAATTGGACAAGTGGAAACAAAGATATTGATAATTTTATACAAGAAACACAAAAAAATTCTATAGGTCCATTGAATTATGTTGAATGGATACAACACAATCGCTTTAGAAACATACAAAAGATCGATGAAGGTGGATACGGAATTGTTTATTCGGCTACTTGGTTGGACGGTCCAAGATGGATACAAGATCAAAAAGATCCTAAAAAATGGACGAGAGAGAACAATAAAAAGGTTGCTTTGAAATTCTTAAATAATTCTGAAAATATTACATCAGAGCATTTAAAAGAGGTATATGATAAATTGTTATGTAGTATATCATATATTTAATAAATATCTATGTAATAAATATATTTTTTGAAGATTTTAATTAATATATATATATGTATATGTATATGTATATAAATTTAGATATCAACGTATTTTCAAAATGTTGTATGGGATAATAGTGTTGTACATTGTTATGGTATATCACAAGATCCATCATCTAAAAATTATATAATTGTTTTGGAATATGCAGAATCAGATCTTTATCAATATATAAGCTTAAATCCAAATATGTTATGGTCGCTTAAGTTAGCATTATTATGTGATATATCTCGTGGATTGAGTACAATTCATCAATGTAATCTGACTCATAGAAATTTTCATGGTGGTAACATCTTAATAATAAAAGAGGGATTTGTTGTTATAAGCGATATGGGTTTTAACCATAAACCAGACGGGAAGTTAACAGAAAACCAATTATTTGGAGTATTGCCATTCTTTTCACCAGAAATTATAAGGACAAAAAAATTTTTAAGAGAATCAGATATTTATAGTTTTGGAATAATTATGTGGGAATTGGCTTCAGAAATTAGAATATATGGGGATAGGGTTCACGATATTGAATTAGCAATAGAAATATGTGATGGATTAAAACCTAAACGTATTGATGGTATACCTCAATGCTGGATAAATTTAATGGAACAATGTTTAGACGTTGATGCAACAAAAAGACCTGATATTTTGACCATTCATAGAATTTTAGTTGATTGGTTAAGAAAAATCATTGACACTCCTAAATTACCTTATAAAATCAACACTGATTTTGCGTTGGCGGAAAATTACAGATCACGTAAATTAAGCATCAATAAAACAAATGCAAAAATGGTTCAATCCACATCATCCTCATTTTCATTAACCAAGAAGAAGAATAATAACAATAATAATAACAATAATCCAAATGACGAAGAAAAACATGACGATAAAAAAGATAATAAGGATAAAAGTAATACGCAGGAAGATATTAATGATGAAAAGGAGAAAAATGAAAAAGACCAAATAATTAAAGAACAAATAAACAATAATTACGAAAAAGGTGTGATGTTACAGGAAAGGAAGGAAGAGGAGGAAGAAAAGCAAAAAAGAATAAAAGTTGATGAATTACTGTCGAAACCAATCTATCACAGTCAATTATACGACTTTGGAGATGAACAATTTCTTGATTTCATGACGAATTTAACAGAATCAGAAGTTGGTAGTATTTTTTATGTAAGGATAATAAAAATAAACAAACAAACAAAACAATAATAATAATTATAATAACTCAGTTACTGCCCGGGTTATATATAATTGGGTCACGAAATTTTTTTCTGTACAACCATATTTGACAGTTTTTCCTATTATTATATGATTATGTAAATTGATAGCTTATCAACTTTTTTAATTGGTTATAAACAAGAAAAACCAAGAATGTAACCAAACAAAGTGTTATTTATATTTTGCTTATCAACTATATATTATATATTATATTTATTTATTATATTATTTATTTATGTGTATATCTTATCTTTTTTTTTTCCAAGCTGAATTAACTGGGAAAAGAGAAGAAATTATCCTTTTTTCTTGCCAAAAATTCGTCGGTAATTAAACTAACTAAATCCATTGAAAAAAATTTTTTTTTTGGTTATCTTATCAATCTTCCTACTCTTTCTTACAAAAAAATACATAAGTTCTTTGGGGGATCTTCAAGATAATAAATTATCTATTGCATTATTACATTTATGGGCACTATGAACATAATGAACATATTAATAATATTAATGGATGGACGGATATGGTTTATAATTCTGCCCCGTATTATTAAAACATGTGGGCCGGATTTTTTACATAGTTTCATAAATTTTGACTGACGTTTGCAATTATCACATTTACATTATAAAAGAATTTACGAGCGTCTTTTTTTTAAAAATAACTAAATGTTTATTGAATCAATTATTATGTTTAACATAATAATATAAGACCCATATAATAAGTTCTTAAAAAATAGTATTACATGAGATCATACTACCAATATGTTCCTCATAATGTATTAGTATATGATTCTAATATCTAATATCACCTTTGAATATTATCAAAGATGGAAAAGTAAGTGCAAATATTTTATGGTCACACATGCAATATTGATAAAATTATTAATTTTTTCTTTTATACAATTAATAAAGTTCATTTACACATATATATTTCATAAGTAATTCACATAAAGAATGCAAATTTCCACGTCATGTGTAATCAATGGAATAAACTGCATCTCTTTTTACATTCTGTAAATAAATAGCGACTTTAGTGCATCCTTTTCATTTTCAAATAAATAAAATATGAGTTCTATAAAAAATTTTTTCTTTTGTTTGTATGTGATATATATTATACACTCTACTCTCTTTTTTAATGATACGGCGACCACCGAGATCTACACTCTTTCCCTACACGACGCTCTTCCGATCTTAAATAGATATCAATTTAGGAGAACCTTAGATAGGCGCCATTGCCGGCTTTGTGCAGATGGTGATGGTGATAATATTATTGTTTTTACAATTTATTAAATTACTTATTCTTATCCACATACTATATTATTTCTCTTATTACAAACATCCAGCAACAAAATTTTAATTTCTATGACACCAAAATCTAAAAATGATAGTGAAGGTATTCATTTTATCTGCCTTTATTATTATTTATGCGATTTTATTTATTTTATTTAAAATAGTTGATCCGTGATTTATAGGAACAGTCCAATATGAATGTTTTTCACTTGAATACTTAAAAGCAAGATTGTTTCGACATCAAGGTTGTTCGCTTTTCAGATTATTAAATAATTAACAAATATTTATTTTAGTAATTAATTTCTAATTAACTAATTATTTGTTCTAGGCTTATTGTTGAGTAAATATGGGGAATTTGAAAAAGGCTTGAGATTGATAGAAAATGGAAGGTTTTTAAATCAACCTTGTCTAGAGAAGGCATGTTGCGTACATATTATGTATATAATCTGTTTTTAAATATAATCTTTATTTGATTATAAATTATTTTATTATTTATAAATAGGCAGAGTATCAATATTTATTAGGCAAAGTTAAATTAATGGAAATTAATAATAAATTAAAGATTAATAACCAAATGATTTTTGATAATATACAAGATTCCGGTAATTTTTTTTTTTTTTTTAATTAATTAATTAATAAAATAGACTTTTAATTTCCCTTCTATATAAATGCATGCATGTATATATAGTACTCTCTTTACCATCATTTGGAAAAAATTCAAATAAAAAACAACATAATATCAATCAAAATTATTTTCCAGATAATTTTTTAGAGGAGATTAATAAAGCAATCGATTATTTGGTAAAAGTTTATGATCTAATATATGAATGCGGACCTACACATTTGTTACAAGAAGCTTCCCTATGTATTGTTAAGGCAAATTTGTTAAATGCTTACTGCTATAACAAATTTTCTGATCAATTAGAAATTGCGACCAAATGTGCATATTATTTGGGTAATTAATTTCATTGATATTTCGTTTATATATATTTATTACTATTGGATATTCATTATCATCCAATTTTTCAAATATCACAGAAATGACTAAAGCACTTACTGTTAAAAGGGAGTTTATTACAATCTTGAACGAGAAAGCAATAAAATTACCTTTAAAATATAATGATAATGAAAGATGGCCTCAAGCAGTTTCAATGTCAAATAAATCCAATGAATTTCAATATAATAATAAGGATGAAAATAATAATAATTTACATGATAAGGAAACATCATATCAAAAATTTTTAAAAGATTTATTGAAGAGATACAAAGAAGAATCATCATTAACATATCATCAATTTCAAAGAGAATTTATAGACATTATACCTTCTCAATGGACTGTGTGTTCAATTACTGTCGATATTGAAAATAATGAGCTATATATTTGTCGCTTTTGTCAAAAAACATCACCATTATTGTTACGATTGCCTTTGAAACGACAATCTGGAGAATGTGGTGGATTTTTGTATAATGACGTGATTAGAAAATTTAATCAAATCATGGATTTATGTGATCAGAGCATGAAATTTGATAAAAAATGTATGAATAAACAAGAAAAGTCGCAGTGGTGGAATGAAAGAAAGGCATTGGATGATAGAATGAAAACCTTACTTGAAAATATCGAGGATTGTTGGTTAGGCGGCTTTAAGGTATTTTATATATATTTATTTTGTTTTTTTTAATTAAAATGAAAGAATATCTTGGATTTGAATATATATATGTTATTAGGGCATATTAATGGCAGATACAGACAATGATCCTAAACGACTTGCTAATTTCAAAGAAAAGATGGATAAATTAGCACTAAAAAATGAAATATGTAGTCAAACTTTTGGTAAACAATCAACAAAAAAGAAAATTGATCTTCATGTAGAATTGTATAGATCTTTTCTTCGTTTAGGACCAAATGCAACAGATCGAGATATTCAAGATATTATTTATTTTCTGGTTGACATATATAACAAAAATAATGATCAACAAATCGGATATGACGAGGTTGATTGGGATCAGGTTTGTTATTATCAAGCATAATATTTATATTTTAATGAAATGTATATTAATTTATGATTTTATAAATTAATAGCTTACTGTTGATATAATAAATGCACTAAGTGTTAATGCAAATTTTAATGATTCAAAATCTGATGATCAGCATGTTATTTTAATTTTGGACAAGTATGTTCAAATGTTGCCATGGGAAAGTTTTCCTTGTTTACGAAATCAATCAGTTTCTCGATTACCCTCAATTTCATTTTTAAGAGATCGAATTCTGTCAATGAAACGTCAAAATATTAATAATTCAAGTAACAATGAAAAATATTTTATTGATCCACAAAAAACGTTTTACATTCTTAATCCGAGTCAAGATTTAGAGAATACACAAAAAAAATTTGAAGATTTTGTTAAAAGGTTTATTTATACATAAATATTATATTTAAAAAAAAATAATAACATAATTATTTATTTTATGATGATATTGTTTTTAGTTTCGAAGGATGGAATGGTGTGATTTGTCGTCAACCATCTGAACAAGAATGTAAAAATGCGTTGAGTAACAATGATCTTTATATGTAAGTGAGGATTCTTTTTCATGGTGATTTAATATTAATACATTTTTTTTTAATAACTATTATTTTAATTGTAGTTACATTGGGCATGGAACTGGAGAACAATATATTAAAAGAAGTATTGTAAAACAAATAGATAATTGTGCTGTGGCTTTATTGATGGGTTGTAGTAGTGGTACTTTGAAATTAGAAGGCGAATTTGATCCTTTCGGATCATCACTTAATTATTTGATTGCAGGATGGTTAGTTATTACAATTATTCTTAATAGTTTTGTTTTTATCATTTTCATATTGTTTTCTGATGTTAATGTATATAATATATAAATAATAGTCCTGCGTTGGTTGCGAACCTATGGGATGTGACTGATAAAGATATCGATAGGTTTAGTAAAGCTTTATTTCATGAATGGAATTTAAAACCAAATCATGAATTAGATAATGTAATTGGGAATGATACAAAAAAAATTGATGTATCGTTAGTTAAAGCTGTTTCAGTCGCAAGAAAAGAGTGTAGATTAAAATTTTTGATCGGGGCAGCACCTGTAATTTATGGTGTACCTGTTTACTTAAAATGAACGTTAGTTTGAAAATAAACAACATATTTATTAAGATTTTGTATAAAAAAATTTTTTTTATTTACTAAAAGTCCCAAAGATATATATATATATATATATATATATATATATATATACAAACTATATATAATAAAATTTTTAAAAGTTCAATAAATAATAAATATAATATTTTAATGAGATCATTAAACAATAAATAATATTGTTTAATTTTTTAATTTTTATTATTTTAACCATTCATGATTACTAATTTCTTCCAAAGTAAAACGTTTATCAGGATCAGACATTAATATTTTTTTAATTAAATCTTTTGCCTCATTACTAATTGTACCTCTTCTACCACGTTCACCTTCCATGGAAGTTTTAGGAAAATCAAATTCTGCTTTGATAATTTTATGAAAAAATTGTTTTCTTGGCCCATCAAAATTAAATGGCAAATAACCAACCAATAAACTATATAATATAATGCCCAATGACCATATATCTGTTTTCTTACCATCATATGGTGATTTACCAGATATAAGTTCAGGCGCAGCATATTCTTCAGATCCACATCTTGTTGATAATAAAGGATTTGTTGGATCAACAAATTTAGCTAATCCGAAATCAGTTAACTTTATAATTGGATTGGATTTTAATAGATCTTTTTTGTTGGAATCTACATCCTTGTTGTTATTGTTATTGGTGTTATCATTAATATTATTACTACTATGACTGCTAGTATTGTTATTGTCATTATTATGGTTATTTTCATTAGGATAATCTAATAAAATATTTTCCAATTTTAGATCTCTATGAACAATGTTATTATCATGTAGATATTTCACAATGTCAACTAATTGTAAGAAAATTTGTTTTGAATCTTGTTCAGTTGTCTCTTCATAATAATCATTGACATAATCAAATAATTCTCCACCAGGAATATATTCTAATATTAAACAAAAGTGAGTTGAAATATCTACTACATCAAATAATCTTACAATGTTCGGATGATTAATGAACTACAAACGAGAAGTTATTATTAACTAATTAATTAATTAAAATAATTAATCTTTTGATTTTAAAATATATTAAATAAATCTAACCTTTAACATTTCAACTTCTCTTAAAACACTAGATTTTACTCTTTCACTATCTTGAATACCTTTAATCCCAATGATCTTTATAGCAACCTTTTGACAATTACTTAAATCAATTGCCAATTTAACTTTAGAAAAGCTACCTTCGCCAATTGTTTTTTGTATAGCGTAATGACCAATTAATTCGGTTGATTTTAAACCTAATTTTAATAATCTAGATTGCAAAAATCGATCATCCATAAGATGACTTTGTAAATCAACCGACGCCAAAACATTATTATCATTGTCATTGTCATAAATGTTATTATCGTTGTTATTACTATTGATAGTAGTGTTTGCAGAGGTATTTGGGTCATTAGTTAGACTTGAAGGACTTATTTTATGTATCGATAAATGATGGGAAGTTGGAAAATCCATTAAAGAAGTGGCAGGACTGGGTAAGTCTGTTAGTGGATCATCATTGGACGCTACTCTGCTATGTTGAGACTTTTTTGATAGAATTGAATCAGATGTTGAGGCTCTCGATATGTTTTGTTGATGTTTTTGATGTTGTTGATTATGATGGTGATGATGTTGATGATTCTGATTCTGATGATCAAAAATTGTTATGATTTTTGGCAGAACTTGTGATCCCATTTTCTTTTGATCACCGAATGATGAAGCTGACGACGACGACGACGACGATGATGATGATGATGAAAAAGAATCATTATGATCGTTTTTATCCATGATATCAAGATTCGCCGATGAACCGTTTGAAGTTATATTAGAAGACAACAGTGTTTGTTGTAGCGCATTCTCTGTATTTATGTCAATTGGAGTAGTTATTGCGGTATTATTATTATTGACTTTTGATGGTGTTGTCGTCATTGAGTCTAACTTTTGTACATTCAATTTTAAAGTTTCCAAATTTGTATAAATACGATCCTTTTTTGATTTAGTTGATGAGCTTTTGGCTATTTGCTCTATCATGACTTTGATGAATTTGATGGATAGTTAAAAAGAAAAAGAAAGAAAACTAAGAAGTATCTTTTTATACATATACATATATATATATATATAGCAACAAAACAACAAATTACAAATCAACAAAGTATAACATGATGACACAGAGATCAAAAAAAATTTAGCAGCTAGTTACACGAAGTGTCAGTATTTGAAATCGAGTACAGTAGGAGGAAAAAAAAGCATTTGATTATAAAATAATTTACTTTTTCTAAATCTGCATTCTGCTCTTCCATTTCATCTTTTTTACCCTTCAAAACTAATTTTGAATAAAAATATTTATTTATTTATTTCAATTTATATACTAAAATTTGAATCCCTGCAAATTTTTTTTTATGATGTAATGTTTTTCCTGGTCCAAATTTGGAAATCGATTCTAGAATAAATAATTAGAATCTCTTTGTCGATTAATTCATATATGAGACTGTAACAAAACCGGGGCAAAGTGAACATTGGTATTACCAAGAATTTCAGGGATTAAAATCACAATCATTTAATATTAATATCAAAAGTTTCGGTATAGCGGATTTGGGGGTTTAGCGGATAAATTTTCAAAACCAAATTTTTCTATAACAATTTTATCTCGGTTTAACAGATTTAATGGATTTTTTATATAAATTTGGTTTACTGGATATTTTTTAAAAATTCATATATGTCACTTATAATAAATTTTTCTCATATTACGATAACGATGATCTTTACTATTTTGGGCTAATATGAGTAATGACGCGCAATTATTAAATATTAATATTAAGAATGTAAAATAATTAGAAATAAATTGTAATAATCAGCAATACATCCACAATTTAACCTAACATATTTCTAGCTATTTCTTAGCAATGACACTATCAATATGTCATTTTCTTTTTTTTCTTTATATGCTAAAATCGTAAATATTGTAAAAGGACAAAGTGAAGTTGATGACAATGAAACAAATGAACTGAGCTGATGATCATTAATATGGAGGCTATAAAAGCTCCAGAAACTATACTTAAATATATATGGCAAAAAATTTTAGATATTGATTTTCAAGTAATTAGAAATTTCAAAAGATTAAAAAGTGAAATTTCTTTACAAAAATTCTCAAGAACAAGTGCAAACAAGAATGGAAAATTATTATAATGTCAACGTTTTAAGTGAATGAATTGTTTTTTTTAAATTTTTTATTAAATGTATTTTTATTATCATCATTACTATTTGCACTCGTATTAAAAATAAAATTAATTTTTTACGTAACATGTATCACATGATTTAATCAAAAATTCGATTTTTTACTATTACGGATATCTCGGTATTACAGATGACTTGGTATAGCAGATAAATTTCCTGGAACAAACATATCCGTTATACCGAGACTCACTGTGTATGTTGAATGAATGCTACATCTAAAAAATAATTTAAAGGGAAATAAAATATTATTAATTAAAAGGATCAAATTTCTGGGTTGACAAAAAATTTAGAATTAAATAATCAATAAATTATATATTGAATGATACTTATCTTATTACACATGATTCAATCATCTTCATATTTGCTTGTTGCTGCTGTTCCCTTTCAGATTGTCTCTTCTGCTTCACCATTGTCAGCTCCATTGTGGATATCTTACAAAATCAATAGTAATTTTTCTTTCATTTAAAAAGTTGTTCTTCAAGGGGATTTTCATTTTCATGTGTTGTAAGTGTTTTTATAAATTCCACAACTACTGAATTTTGCTTAGCAAGCCATTCAGAAGTAGAATATCCTAAAAGACTATCTAAGCTAAATCAATCCTGATCATTAATTATAATCTACTCTGAATTCTTTAATTTTCTCACTGACTCTGATAAAAGATATTCAAGATATTTATTGAGAATACCTGAATTCCCGCTCCATAAATTTTTGTTTCAAAAGATTGTTGAAGTAATGAATCATCAATATTTGTACAAATAGATTTGTGTTGATAGAAAAATTGAAAGTTGGATCAGATGTTTGTAAACATTCAAGGAAATTATCATTGGTGCCCTTCACAAAGAGAATAATTTTCTAAAAATTCTATAATTCTGGGAAATAGTTAGTAAAACATTTTATACGTCCCATTACCAAGCTTACCCCAACATTAATTAAGTTTGGCTTCAACTTTTTTTCAGAGTAAGAACTGCAAATAAGCATGGAAAAGTATTTCTAATGAATCTGATACTGAAAAGAACAAAGTTTGGCATAAAGGCAACAAATTTACTTCTGGTAGATAAATTTCTCATACTTTGAGCAGATCATTGGATTAAGAAAAACGCCTAGTGGATTAAGAAAGTATAAGTTTAAAGGTATTTATTTATTTTATAATTTTTTCAGTACATATGAAATGTATATGAATTGATCGACAAGGTGGCGTAAAAAATTCTTGGATAAATGAATGACTTGAACTTTATTAAGCAAAGCTTGTGCCTTGATCAAATCAGTCATACGTATTGAAAAATAAAATTTTTTTGTATACTAATATATATATATATGCATGCCAAATTTCAAACCCTGTAGATCATCAAACAAAGAAAGTCGGTGTTTAACAATGCAATAACCATAATTATTTGTTCAATATTAACATTTTATCTTACTAATTCATTTTCATCCATTTATACTCACAAAATACTTCAAAGGCAATGTTAACAACAGTAATGATAATAAAAGTAATTCTTTCACTCATACTGAAACTGTCCTATTCTAAGAGTACTTACAACTTACTCTCTCGCAAATAGGTGGTACAGGCAATAATTACCTAAATTTACCACAAAATGTATCATACCAAGGGTTAAAAAACGGGGGCCGAAAATCAAAACCCTGAAACGCCTTGTTCTCCGTTGATCGGTGCAACCTGCTTGTCCTCTCAAAATAATTACTATTACTATTTTTATTGTGTGGTGGTTTTTTTTTTTAAGCTGCTTTATTTGTCTTTTTATTATTTAATTATTATTCCCTTTGCTTTTAAAATTTTATAATAATTTAAAGCTATAATCATTTTTCTTTATTTTTTATATATGAAATATGACTAACAAATCAACAACAGCTGGAATTATTGAGATTCCTAAACGAAAAACTACAATGGTAATTTTTATAAAAATTGTTTTTTTAGTAAATAAGCAAATTACAAATTACAAATTATCAACAATTTAACTGTTTTTGATTTTTATTAGGTTAAAACAGAGAAACGTAAACTTCCGTTAAAGACGAATTCAAAAAGATCCGACTCTTCGAATTCTAATTCTAATAATTCAATTTTGTCAACAAGCCCTTCAGGAATAACAACAGAGGCTGCTTCGACAACAACTAACAATCAATCTAAATCTCGTACAATAACTATAAATGATTCGTCATCAGAATCTAGTGATAATACTTTAGTAACATCACCAACTCAATTAACTTCATCATCGCCATTACAACTAAATAATATTCATTTAACTGAGGAGGAAATTAAATTAAAACAACTTGAACAAGCAAAAAAGATTTTATTGAGACAACAAGAGGCACCAAGTTTCAGACATGAATTACAATTAAAAGAAACAAAAGAACCTACAAGAGGTAGGTCACTACAATCACTTAAACGTGACCAATTAAGATCTCCAAGTCCAAGTCCAAGGTATACATCTTCTCCAACTCCGCCACTTTTATTAAAAAGAAGACAACAACAAAGTGACACCAATTACTATCATGCAGAATCAGATGATTCCAATACATCTAATAATAGTAGCATAACAAATAAGAAAACAGCTACTAAAAAACGTAATAATACACTCAATGCCTCCAAGCCGGTATGCACATGTTTGAAACCTGATAGTATTTGGTGTCAAATGTGCGAATCAAAAAGATTTCAGCAAAGATTTTCAAATTGGACAAGTGGAAACAAAGATATTGATAATTTTATACAAGAAACACAAAAAAATTCTATAGGTCCATTGAATTATGTTGAATGGATACAACACAATCGCTTTAGAAACATACAAAAGATCGATGAAGGTGGATACGGAATTGTTTATTCGGCTACTTGGTTGGACGGTCCAAGATGGATACAAGATCAAAAAGATCCTAAAAAATGGACGAGAGAGAACAATAAAAAGGTTGCTTTGAAATTCTTAAATAATTCTGAAAATATTACATCAGAGCATTTAAAAGAGGTATATGATAAATTGTTATGTAGTATATCATATATTTAATAAATATCTATGTAATAAATATATTTTTTGAAGATTTTAATTAATATATATATATGTATATGTATATGTATATAAATTTAGATATCAACGTATTTTCAAAATGTTGTATGGGATAATAGTGTTGTACATTGTTATGGTATATCACAAGATCCATCATCTAAAAATTATATAATTGTTTTGGAATATGCAGAATCAGATCTTTATCAATATATAAGCTTAAATCCAAATATGTTATGGTCGCTTAAGTTAGCATTATTATGTGATATATCTCGTGGATTGAGTACAATTCATCAATGTAATCTGACTCATAGAAATTTTCATGGTGGTAACATCTTAATAATAAAAGAGGGATTTGTTGTTATAAGCGATATGGGTTTTAACCATAAACCAGACGGGAAGTTAACAGAAAACCAATTATTTGGAGTATTGCCATTCTTTTCACCAGAAATTATAAGGACAAAAAAATTTTTAAGAGAATCAGATATTTATAGTTTTGGAATAATTATGTGGGAATTGGCTTCAGAAATTAGAATATATGGGGATAGGGTTCACGATATTGAATTAGCAATAGAAATATGTGATGGATTAAAACCTAAACGTATTGATGGTATACCTCAATGCTGGATAAATTTAATGGAACAATGTTTAGACGTTGATGCAACAAAAAGACCTGATATTTTGACCATTCATAGAATTTTAGTTGATTGGTTAAGAAAAATCATTGACACTCCTAAATTACCTTATAAAATCAACACTGATTTTGCGTTGGCGGAAAATTACAGATCACGTAAATTAAGCATCAATAAAACAAATGCAAAAATGGTTCAATCCACATCATCCTCATTTTCATTAACCAAGAAGAAGAATAATAACAATAATAATAACAATAATCCAAATGACGAAGAAAAACATGACGATAAAAAAGATAATAAGGATAAAAGTAATACGCAGGAAGATATTAATGATGAAAAGGAGAAAAATGAAAAAGACCAAATAATTAAAGAACAAATAAACAATAATTACGAAAAAGGTGTGATGTTACAGGAAAGGAAGGAAGAGGAGGAAGAAAAGCAAAAAAGAATAAAAGTTGATGAATTACTGTCGAAACCAATCTATCACAGTCAATTATACGACTTTGGAGATGAACAATTTCTTGATTTCATGACGAATTTAACAGAATCAGAAGTTGGTAGTACGTATGAACCACCTCAATCTCCATCAAATGAAAGTACAAGCAGTAGTAAAGTTACTTGCGGCGAATTAGAGAGCATGTCAATTACAAATACAACTGATGATATATAAGCAGGTTATGAATTTAGATGGTTGCTAAATGGTTGGAAAAAATTGATTAACTTGTATCTTTTTAATTATATTAGGTGAAAAAAAACAATTAGAATCAGAATTTTAAACAAACATTAAAAATTATATATATATACACATATATAGAATAGATTTGAATTATATTAATCTTATTATTATTATATTATTGCTGTGTAGTATATTGCATTTTAATAGAATTATAGGTTTTATTTTTAATTTTCCATTATTTATTATTTATTGTTATATTGGATTTTTTTTTTTATTGAATAAAATCAAGATTATTTATTCATGTAATTCTGTGTATTGAAAATTTTATCTTTGAATTGAATTGATTATGTTGTTACAAGGCAATTATTTATAAACAAGGGCTGGATGCATAGCCCTAATGAGATACTTGATTAAACCATTAATCACATGTGAAAAATAAAGACACTCGTTACTAAATTAGGGGGGTTTACCCTTTTCGCCAGTAAGCCCTGGATCAAATGCCCACCTTTTATCTATTTCTAGACCTCGAGGTATAATAATAAGGATTTTTAGTTATCTATGAATTTTGTGATCTTTAATTTTCAGTTTTAGGAGCATGACGAGATTGTTTATCATTAAGCACTAATTGAGACGATTCATCCAAAAATCTGTTCTGAAATCTTTAACTCGAGATCTTTAAGTCACAAGCAAACGTAGAAGATATTGAACCAGGTGCTTGAATGAGACGATCAGTCTAACGAAGGAAAATCAATTCAAATGCATTGGTGGATAACAATACTACGATTGGAAGTCAATCTCATCACGCTTACGTTTTTTAGTAAGATGTTACATACATACATAAGAAAAAAAAGATTAAGATATATAGTTTTCACCTCAACCGAATTGTGACATTACATCACATCCTGAGTAAATTCCATTGTTAAAGCTCTTGTCCTTGACCTCTGTTAGGCAGATGGACAAATTTACAAACCCATAACCACGACTTCCTTCAAGTTGTTCTTTCAGCCCCGAGTTCAAGAAATGATGATTTTACTTGAAACTGGGTCGCTGCAATAGTATGGAAGGGTGAAATGTTATTTCATTGTAATCAAACTTATTATTAAATTTTATTAAGACTACTTTATTGAAAATTGAATAGGAAAGAATGCTACACACCAATAAGGTTTTTCCTATCAGTGAAAGCAATAAATACATGCTCACGTACGAAATATAATTGACATAGTGGATATATCGTCAAAGGACAACTTTGCAAATTACATCACAATTCAGAGGAACGCGGCATTAAAAAAATTCACATTCATCTAGAGTAGAAGGGAGGGACAAACGGACGGGGGACAGGCAGGTGTCTAATTGTTTTTCGTAGGTTTCTCGTGATCTATTTCACATTTACGTTTTCGAAAAAATTAACAGTTCGTGATGAAAACTCTTTTATTTACTTTAATGTTTAATAATTTTCATTTCAACAATTATCATGGCAAAACAACAATAGAGAATACTTCATAAATTTCCATAACATATATAAAATGAGGTTATTGCTAATAAAGCAACTTTTCTTGTATGATAATAATGATAATGAAGGAAATAATATTAAAGGGTTCATCATTTTTCTATTTAATAAAATTAATTGGACAAGAAAGGTCAAATAATGTTTTTAAATCTTTTACAAATGGTAAATTAATATTAATAATTACTATGATAATAAAAAAATAATTTATATTTATTAGTAATTCTCTCTTTAGTGCTTATTAAATCTTCAATAAAATTATTATGGTTTAGATAAACATAATAAACCATTTTATCTTGATTATTATACTTTGAAAGATCAATGTAATAATAAATAACAATTCAATCATTAATGGTGTAAGGTAAATTTATTAAGTAATGACAAAATAGTCCAAAATTTACCCGTAAAAGAAGATGGAACAGTTGAGAGATACCAGGAAAAAGTCATTTTACAAAAGATTGGTAAAAAAAAATCTATAATAAATATGCAAACAAACACACCTCATACCCATAGACACTCACTCACAAGTATTAATTAATACTATTCTGTTATTATTTTCCCCTATGTGGTATTTTATACCTCTTGTTTTATTATTACTGACAACTATCCCACAGCCGGTAGAAGACGCAGCAGTAGCAACAACAACGTGGTGGACAGAAGTCATGATCTGCACGTTAATTGGTTTCCAGTTAAATCTGTGACAAAATTTCACGAGGTTTGTAATAAATAAACTTATTATTAAAGGCATCTAATCAAATACTGAATTGGTATGTAATCTATAAAAATACAAAATTGAAAAAAAACATTTATTATATATATAAGATGTCTAATAATGGTATTATATAGAATGAGTGGTGAATGAATATAAAGATTTTGCTTAATTCTACCATGATTTACCAATCTATTTATTTGTAAAAAATAAAAAAAAATTTCTTTTAAATTCCTCATTTAAGAATTCCAAATAAACAAAATCAAGACTTACCACCTTCTGCACACATTGTTTAAATTCTTGGAATTCTTTTAAACATAAATCCTTTTGTATATTGTCAAGCTGCGATGTTATACACTTTGCGTATTTCATACCCTAATAAAATATTGAAAAATGAAATGCATGAATTCATTATTTATTATTATTGATTACTGCTACTTACCGGAACAGAACACTTTGATATCCCTTGTTTAAAAATTGATATACTTCGCTTTTCCTTTATTATCTTGGACATTATTACCGAATGTTATTAATATTAATATTAATGCCAACTATAGCGACATTCGTTTATCACATTGTGACTTTGATTTCATTGGCTAAATTTTACAATGATCACTCTCCAAAAAATCACAAATTTTATTGGCTTGAAGATCTTTTACAAAAACAAAATTTTTAATAAAATTTAGCAATGATCTACAAATCATGAATTTTGGGGTCAAAATCTTATTTGTTGATTTTCTCAAAACATGATTTTTTTGACATGCCTCGTTTCTATTGATCAGGCCCCACAGTATATCAGGGTGATCAAAAATATCGGGGGAATGTCTGAAAAATGGCCGATTTCCGAAATTTTTATTGGACATTCTAAAATTTTATCGAATTTATAATAGTAATAGGATTTCGCGCCCTGGTATATACAAGGTAAAAAGATAATTGGTTAATTATTAGAAGGTAAAGACACGAACTGAATTAAAAATCAGAGCTATTTGACATTACTTTGATGCTAAGTAACAAATTCCTAAGTATAATGGGTCTTGTTAGGTCATAATTTAAGATTCTGTTCTAATCTCTAGTTAAAGGCTTTTCTAAAAGCCTGAAATACAAATTAAATTGGAAAAAATTTTATTATTATTATTGGTGCATTCATTATAAATCGAACAACCAATGAAAAAATTTCTAACTCACCAAATATTATCGTTACAAAATTACTTTAATAGTTAGGATTATTTATAAAATATATTAATATTATAATATTATACTCTATTCAAAATAAGAAAACAAAAAATGTGGTTTCAAAAAGATTATTCAATCAGACTTATATTTATTTTGTTTTATTTTATACTTAATATTTGTACATTGGTTGTTGCTGAAGATTTAAGTGTTGTAGAACTTGATCAAAGAGACACACAGTCGGATTTAAATAATTCTTCGGGTAATATATTAGATGATGAAATGGTTGACTTGGAAGCTATAGATGAAGCCGAAGTAAGTTTAATTTTATTGTTTATTTTTTTTCATTTTATTAAAAAAAATATTAATATTTGAATTTTTATTATAAATAATAATAATAATAAAAAGCAAAAATTTGTAAGAGTTGAGGCAGAAGATCCAGAATTGGTTGGTTCAGTGCTTAATGTTGATATAGATGAAGCCAATAAAGTTAAAAACAGGGTTGGAGAAAATAATTTTTCATTAGGAATAGAAGATTCAAAGTCGTTTTTATTTAGTATATTAATGATTGTTGTTTCAGAAGTTGGTGATAAAACATTTTTTATTGCAGCAATTATGGCAATGAAAAATTCAAGATTTTTAGTATTTTCTGCGGCATTTTCTGCTCTTGCACTGATGTCAATTCTGTCAGCTGTTTTGGGTCATGCAGTACCAAACTTGATTCCAGAATCTTATACAAATTACCTTGCTTCATTGTTGTTTTTATTTTTTGGTATAAAAATGGGATTTGAAGGATGGCAAATGACAGATGAAGACGCCAAACAAGAATTGGAAGAAGTCACAGCAGAATTGAAGGAAAAAGAGGAGACTGGGGTTATTGATAAGGCTGAAGGCGGTGGTTCAGTTGATAAAACAAAGGAATCAACTTTCAATGAAGGATTAATCAACTTGTGTCAATTTCTTTTTTCGCCTATTTTTGTTCAAACATTTGTATTGACTTTTTTGGCTGAATGGGGCGATAGATCACAAATAGCAACTATTGTTTTGGCTGCTGCGCAGGTTAATAATAACATATAAATAAATTGATTATTTATTTAAAAATGGAACAAAATAATCAATTAATTAGATACTTATATATATTTTTTATTTATTTATTTATATAGGATGTTTATTGGGTAACACTGGGTACCATAGCTGGTCATAGTATTTGCACAGGCCTTGCAGTGGTTGGTGGTAGATTCTTGGCAGCTAAAATCTCGGTCAAAACAGGTAAGAATAAATAATTTTATTTATTTTACTAAAAATAATTTATTAACATCTTTTTTACAAAATCAAATCGATTATAGTCACAATCATTGGAGCATTTCTTTTTATCTCATTTGCACTTATTTATTTGTATGAAGGAATATGTGAGACTGGAATATGATTAAATTTTATTCAAAAAGAATTCACGAACTTTTTTTTTATAAACAATAATAGTCATGTATATTATTCATTATCATTATTATTTATATGCATTTTTTTAATATATATATATAAATTTTTCAATAGAATTATTAAACCAGCAATTACAGACGTAAAGTTTTTTTTCTTTTCTGTTCTGTTCTGTAAAATTTTACATTTATGAAGTTCAAACAATTGTGCAAGTCATTTAGTCGCTGAACCATGAAGGAATTAAAACACAAGTTTACTATGTTAACCCCAAAATCGGCATCATAGCACGGAAAGTTAGTGATTTAAGTGAATATTGATATGATGTTTTTTAATTCAAAAATAGATATCAATTACAAAATCGATTAGTATTAGGGGCCTGGCGGATATGACGTAATTATTGATTTGATAGCCAAATTTGTAATATTGTTGGCTTGAAGATCATTACGCAATTTGAAAACAAATAAATTTATGAAAGGAAGGAAATTTAGTTTCGAATGAATGAATGAATTCAAGTTGATGCAAGAATATCATAAAATCCATATCTATTGTAACGATTTATTATTTATCATTATTATATAGATGTTCTTTACTTGAGGTAAAAGAGGAAGCGTTGCTGTTAAATAATAAGGGATAATTTTACGATCAATCACTGTGTTGTTCATTGTTTAGTACTATAGAGCATATACTATCTGGAATCCACCGAGGAAAGGATGAGTATATGAATAAATCTAATTAGAAATAGAAATTATAAAAATTTTCACCGGAAATTTTTCACTATTACTATTAACAATTACCTTTTGTGCACTTATTCTGATGTAACAAATAAATTTTATTTTATTTTTTATTGAAATATAATTTGACCAAATGATGAAAGATTTTTTAAAAATTGAAAGGATTAATAATAATAATAATAATTCCTTAAAAGATTTTATTATATATAGTTTGCAATCAGATTAGTTTATTTTTTCCAAATAGCCTTTTTTAAAAAATTATATACTTCAAATGATGATTACATTAAATGCACAATTATTGAGGATTATTGCTTTCTTTTTTTTCTCAAAAGGATGAAAAATAAAGCACTGAAAGAAGAATCTTTTTCTATGAAGATTTATTATGAACAGAAATCTGATAAAGTTTTTTCTTTATTTTCTTTCTATTTCTACTTTCTTTCTTCCCTTCAATATATTAATAATAATAGGTATAGTTATAATTATTATAATTATTAATTGGTTTTTTATGCTTTAAAATCCAAGGATGTTTCAAAACTTCTTCCAAGGATAATCGTTGATCAGGATTTTTTTGAAGAAGCTATTTTTTTTTTTTGAGAAGTAATAAAAATATTTAGAGAAAAGAAGATAATTTATTTTGTAAATATTGAAATAATCAGGATAGCAGTAAAGATAGTAGTTACCAATTTAATAAAATGTTTGGCATCTTCTGATATATGATCAGGCATTGAATACTCCACTCTCACTATTCTTTTGTGTGTACCTTCGCGACCACCTGGTCCTGAAAATGGAACTGTACCAGACAACAGTTCATAACATAAAACTCCAAGATTCCACAAGTCAGCCTTTGAATCATGAACTAGACCATCAACCATCTCTGGTGGAAGATAATCCAATGTGCCACAAAATGTTCTACGTCTTATATATTTTTTAAGTAATGGATATATTATTATAAATAATTAGACATTTTCTACACCAATAATTATAATTAAATCCATTTTTCTTTACCTTTGACCAGGAGCATGTACTGACCAACCAAAGTCAGCTATTTTAAGATCATTGTTTGGACCCAATAAAAGATTTTCAGGCTTAATGTCTCGATGGATTATATTTTTATGGTGAAGATAAACTAAAGCATGTGCCATCTGAGCAATATACTACTAATTCACAATAACATATTGATTGACTGAATTAGCATCTTTCATTCACAACTAATACAGTAATAAGAGGAATTACAAACCCTTGATGCACGCTTTTCAGTAAATCTAGTACACTTTCTAAGATGTTTATAAATTTCTCCATTAGCTGCATATTCAAGAATCAGAAATACATGGTTTTCTTCACAGAAATGTCCATATAAACGAAGAATATTTGGATGTCTATAGTAGTAACAACAGCAACAATAATAATACAATTAATATAATAAATGCAACAATATCAATATAATATACATATATCCACATATACATCTGTCTACCTTAGATTACTTTGTATTTCAATTTCTCTTCTCAATTGTTTTTCAACATTAAGTTCAATCATCTTTGGTATGTACATTGCTTTCAATGCAACGATATATCCACTTGTTTTCTCTCTTGCAAGATAAACATCTCCATATTGTCCTTTACCAAGCCCAAATCCAATATCAAAGTTATTTATTCTCCAAATCTTTGGTCCACTATAAATAGTTGATAGAATAATTGAGTAATCATAAATTAATCAGTTGTTAAATAATGAAAGTTACCTAATAAAAGATGGTAAAGGAGGTGTAGAAGTGGTGGTGATGGTGGTAGAAGACGCACCATTTTTGAAATCTTTTCTATGAGAAGAGTATGGCAAGACATGTTCTTTAACTTTAGTTTTACATTCAAATATTGGATTGCTATTATTGTTGTTATTATCATTACTGCTACTGCTACTATCACTATTATTAATATTTTTATTAATATTGATTTTGTGCTGTTGTTGTTGTTGCTGTTAACAATAAAATTACTAAGGTTACTAATTAAATAATATTCTAATTTAAAATTTTAATAATAACATATAATATTTTTCTACCAAAGACTTTGAAAAATGTTTAAAATATAATTCCAATTGTGATAAATTCATTATTATATCAGTCAGATGTTTAGAAAATAAAATTATTATAAACATTGTCGATCATTCGAAATTGATTATCACATCCGTTTTTTTCACCAAAAAAAAATCGCCCCGTTTTTACGTGGTCCACGAAAAATTTATTTTGTCCGTTTATAATAATGTCAGCAAAATTTTCTTAAATTACAATTATTAAATCTTTTTTTCATATCTTCATCAAATATTAAAAAGACGTATATGATTTGATAGTATTGATTTGAACTTTTGTTGGCACAAAATATGAAGCCCAAACTTTTAAAGAAATAATCCACTGTTGAAAAACATAAAAAAACATATTTATAATAGTAATTTAAAAATTAACTATACAAAGAATTTGCTGGAACTTTTAAACCACCAAAGTAAAAGAAATTCATTGTTTTAAAAAACAATATTATATTGGAGAAGATAGCTGGCCATTTACAAAATAAAGATGTCAAGACAGTCAATGTTAATAAACTTGGAACTTTTCATCAGAAGAACACAAATTTCTATTAATAATTGGTGGTCCCAAGACACGATGGTAAAAAACATCATGTAATAGGTTTCCAAATTTAGAAGTAAAGGTAACTAATATGAGAGAAAATTTACAAACACAGGAATATACTCCATTGTAGTATTGCACTGTTTAGTACATACATGTTAGCCAAAATTGTTTTTGCATTTGCCAATATTCTGGCCACATTCTAGCTTTTCCATATTCTCTATATTAATGATCATAAAAAAAACTACTCAGAATTTTGGCTATTGAATCAAAAAATTCAAATAATTTTGGATACAATTTTGGCTATTAAAATTAATTTCAGCTATTATGAAAAGTTATATTGGCATTTTGAATTTGGCAGTGATCATTTACTAATAGTTTAATTTTTGCTAACATGTATAATTTAGTGTAATATGATATATGAAGTTGTATAGTCCAGCGGCTATTGTACATCATACTGTATAGAACGAATTTTCTTATACTAAATTGTATAAACATAAGTATTTTTTGATTACACACACAAAGAACATTATATGATCTGAATTTAAAGCTGATATATAATAAATTTTTTACACAAAAATTTATTTTGGTCAGAGATAACATTAATTATTTAATGAGGAACTATCTTTTAGAAGATCTTCATATAAAAGCAAATATTTTTTCTTTATATCTTTCCAATTTACATTCCAATTTTTTTTATTTCAAGTTCTTTTTCTTTAAAATTAATTCTATCAGCTTTTGTCTTTTTATTATTGCTAATATTATTATTGTATTTGACTTGCACCCTTGATCATTGAAATGATAGTTTTCAGGAAAAATAAAGTGTGAAGTGTATAGAAGTAAATACTTTGTTGGATAGATCTTGTTGTAACATTTAAAGAGAGACTTTTTCCATAGAGGTTGCACCCAATGAATAATATTCAGTGAATATTCAGTGAATATTTGGTTAGTTGGATATTTGATTTTTTATTGATTGATTGACCAAATATAATAAATTAAAAATGAATATTCACTGAATAACTGATAATCAATATATTGTATAATAAATTATCATTTAATTCATCTATTAATTAAATTTAAAAAATGGAAGAAGAGCCTTCAGTCACTATAGTAGGAGAAAGTAATAATACAATAATGAGAAGGATGAGTTTTCTGCTGCTCATATTTTGAAGAAAAGAAAGGTAAGGGTGGTCCTGAGAAGTCAAATTGGATATGGAACTTGATGGAAGAAACTGAAATTGTAAAAGATGGAGAAAAATCTAAAGGAGCTATTTGTCAAGTTAATGTCTGAGTTTTTGATATTATTGTTCCTTGTAATGTTGTAGTATGTGGTGATGAATCTACATCTAATTATATTACACACTTATATGATGAACTTAAGAAGAACAAAGTTTGATCCATTTTTATTTGAAAAGATTTTTTTTTTTTGAAAAAAAAAGTATTGATAAGTTTGATAGAATGTAAAATGATTAAATAAATTTAAAGTTTTTTGTTAACAATGAATATTCACTGAATAATCAATTTAATGACTGAATGAATATTTTAATTATTCACCAAATGATTATCTGAATATTAAATTTAATTGATTGAATGAATATAAAACGAATGAATATTCAGTGAGCACAACCTTTATTTTTCCATAATTATTTGCTCTTGCATGAGACATTGGTATCATGGGCTGCCATGTTCCTAATATTAGGTGGAATTTACAAAACAGAATTATTTAAGAGTTGTCATGTAGGTTATGGTCTGCTCAGATGTAAATAATGGAATTTCTTCTTTTGATACTCTGTCATTAGAATTAGAATTATTAGAATTATTCTGAATTAAAAAAGTATTAATTGACGATCCGTCTATGAATCAGTGTGACCGGGTAGTTGATAGGTCCAAGATTTACTATCTCACACTATATAAGTCCATGGAACCTTAGTTTGAACTTTAAAAAGACTTGTAATTTTTTCATTTCCAGTAGCTGCTTTGGTAAATGAGCCACTTGGTCCATATTTATCATAATAAGCGGATTTTGGTGTCTTACCTTTCATGTATGATTGGGGTGTCATATGATTTTACAAACATAGTCGATCACATATATAAATTTCCATATATGGGCATGCTGTAACAAAGTGAACATTGGTGTTACCAAAAATTTCAGGGGTCAAAATTTAATAATGTGATTATTAAAATCTTCCATTTGTTCCTCTTAATATATATAATTACCTCTATAAAAATAGTTAATATGAAACTCATTTACATCAGAACTACTATGGAACCAAAGAATTACAGCATCATTAGAAGTATTTTAAAAAAGAAACAAGGAGAGAAAATTGCTCCATATGTTTTTAAAATAAATGATACTCAGACACTGGAAGCTTATCTAAGGAATGAAAGGATTACCTATGAGATTTACCAAGAAGAAAGAAAATAATAAATGTTGGAAAAAGAAAGCATCATGATGATGCATTATTACCTAATAAAAAGCAAAAATCTTTAACTACCATTTTCTTTAATAGTTGGAATGAATTTCAATATTCTTTAAATTATTTTCTTATTTTCAATAAAGGTCATTTCTTAGTTTCTTTAACTTCAATTTGAGCAATTTGATCATTCTTTTCCTCTTCTAGTTGCTTGATTTTTCTTCTAAACCCTTTATCTTATCCAATAACTCTTGCTTCTGTCTTACTTTTCAGACTTTTCCTGAAACTTGGCTATTTCTTCTCTTTCAATTTTTAATTCTTCTTTGGTAATTGACAACTCTTTTTCAACAGTGTGCTACCTTGATATCTTGTAATTAATTATATATTTAATATTAATAATGATTACAAAAAGTCAAATACCAATCATTTGTTTACCATCTTGATGAGAATCTTATAATTACCCAGCAAGATCTGCTCCGCATTTTGATTTCAATAAGACACATTATATAAATAAAGACATATCAATGCAATTAAAAAAAAGTTAACTCTGGTTAGTTATTGTCACCGATTAAATTTGGGAGAGCATATTTTAATTGGTGATAACAATTATTTTTGTTTTGTGTGGATCAGAATGAATAGGGGATCAATGAATTGATTTTATTATTAGCGAATAATTTTGGTCAAAGAAGATAAAAGTTTAAATAAAATATTTATTTTATTTATTTAGTTTTCTCAGTCGAAACTAATTAACTTGTTATCAAGTTACTTTTACAGTAGGTCAAATTTGAGTCTTTATATACATGTCAATTAATTATGAGCCCATTTGGGTTTACGCGCCCACCTGGGTTCATGAGCCCATATGGGCGCATCGTCACTAATCTCTACTAAATATCGTTAAATAAATCAAATAAATATTAACGTGTTACAGATTAATAATAATAATAATAATAATAATAATAGATGATTATACAAAACGTAACACAGGTATAGATGATAATAATAATAATTATTATACAAGTTAATAAAAAAAAAAAAATAGAAAAATGATAAATATAAAAATAAATAAATGAAATTATAAATAAACTAGAGTAATGACGAGTGGAAGGCGATAACTACCACTGCCATCCTTAAAACACTTACCCAGAGATGTCTTCTTGTTGGGTTTGTTTGGTTCTTTTCAATTGACGTTTATGAATGATCAACATGTACACGCTAATTATTTATCCTATTGGTTTTTTTTTTGGTAGGACAGACACGAATTGATTGATTTTTTTTTTTTTTGGAAAAAACAAAAAACAATTTATTTTTTGACAGAGTCCAAGGTGACAAAAGGTGAGTGTTGTTGTTTGGTTTGGCTTGGGTCTCCTAAAGAAAACGTGTTAATAACTAACCAGAGGTACTATTTTTTACTTGTATTGATATGTATGAGGTGTCTTTTATTTTAGCTTATAAATATTTTAATTGGAAATCAAAATGCGGAGCAGATCTTGCTGGGTAATTACAAGATTTTCATTGATTTTTGTAATTGTAATAATACCGTAAAGTCTGGAAAGATAGCATCCCCTTTTTACATTTGTGTAACATTTTTTTTATATTGACGCTCAATTGTTTTAAAGTAGGGGGTGCTATCTTTCCAGACTTTACAGTAATACTAATATTATATTATTATAATTACAAGATGTCAAAGCAACATTGACTGTTGAAAAAGAAACATTTTGAATATGCAACGTTTGATTATCGGAAATTTTACAAGTGTTGAAGCACGCACGCTACCTTGAACACGCTTACAGTCATTCTCACATGTTCCTCAAGTACATAAGGCTAATCTGACCTGATGGATCGATGATACAATGATGCAACTGAACTTGAGGGGTAATACAGTCACTGGAAAAAAGTATCGCTTCACCTGATGATCGGCGAAAATAATTGAATAACTCCGGTGATATAAAAAG